CCTAACTCCTAAATCAGAAGACTTAAATCCTAAAACCTAAATCCTAAATTCTAGACCCTGGACCCTAAACGCGAAATCCTGAACCCTAAACTGCAGCGCCGCAGTATGCAGCACCCAGGCTTCTTCCTGAATTTTGTCCAGGTCCAAATCTTTGCAGAAGCATACAGCCTCGCGGTGTGAGGGTCTAGGGGTTTAAGGGTTCAGGGCTTAGGGTTTAGGGTCTTGGCCTTTTAGGGTTTACGGCTCTAGGTTTTCGGGGTACAAGTTCCTTTGCGGACTGCATGGAAGGAGTCTTTAGAGTTCCCAGTGCCAGAAACATACCCTAGACCCTTCGATTTCCTATTGCCAGAACGTCAAACTTCAAGCCTGGATTTGAATCAGATGCAGCGCCGAGATGCCACAAGAGTTAATTAGGATGAAACTGCCTAACTGCATTTAGTGAAAAGGGGGTTCTTTTTGGGCAAATTGTGATGATCTCGCCTTGCCTCGGCCCCAACGCTGGCTGAAAATGGTGTCACATTGGCGCAATTGCGACTGAAATCATGGTCCGGGAAATATTGTCACAGCCAGCTTGGGGGTCCTTATAATGATCTAAGGTTAGAAGTATGGGCCCCTATCTTGGGCCATTAGGGCTTCTGGTGAGGTTCTAGGGGCCCGTAAGGGTACACATAGGATATTTAGTAGGTATGTAAGGATCCAGGGATTAAGGGCCCATACTAGGGGCCCATGGTTTCAACCGATGGGATATGCTGAGACCGCCATCATCGGAATTAAGCAAATTGGGTTCTTACCTAACTTAGAGCCCCAATACTGTATTCCAATATGCTAGAGACCATGCATGGTTTAAGGTTTAGGGCTTTAGTTTTAACAGGGATCAAACCGGAGTATCTCGAGTTTACAGTCACCTCTCGGATTCGACGGAATATGTAGGAACAATGGAAGGTCAAATGGAAAATTAACAGAAATTATACAGGGGTTCTATAGGGATCCAGCCCCTCCCCTAATCATGAAACCCCACCCCTAAATAACAAATATTCCCTAGTGTAATGGTGACTGGGTAGGGATGGTCAGTGTAGGGGGTTAGCGGCTGATTGTGAGCAAGGGATTAGAGCTTGAACCGCCCAAGGCTGCATCTGGCACAATGGCGACACAGACTACTTCCACACCTTGAGATTGATGGAGGCTGGCACAGGGTCTAGCTGTGGAATGCCCTGCCTTTGGGATCATGTCTTGCAACGACAAGAATGAGCTTCATTTGTTTGCTGGGTTTGACATGCTCACTACACGCAGACCAGAAGTGGGTGTTTCACAAAATTCCGGGTCCCTTTAAAGGGGATAAGAGGGGTTATGCAGGGGTTATATCAGGCCTTTATGGGTTATGGGGTTATATAGGGTGTAGGATTCTATAGGGCTTAGGGTTTCCCGAAACTAGGGGAACGAATAGGATCATAGCCAGTTGTGGGGACTACATTGGGGTCCCCTTATCTTGGGCAACTACCAACTCTCGACATATTAAACCAGGTCAAGCTTCAGGAAATCACGTCTTCGGTTTCGGGTTGAGGGTTTGGGGTATAGCTGTATAGCTACGACTTTGTAGACTGACTTATGATGGAACCTCGAGATTCACAGCTCTTAATTGTGAAGCTACTCAACCTTCCTGTAGGTGGCTTCACACCACTTGGTATGTCATATGTCTCTGAACTTGTGGCTTTGTGTTTTCAAGATGGCATTCAAGATGTAGGCTCCAGGCATTCTTACGGCTTCGGAGAGGATATCTTGTTTCCTTCCCTTCGCTTAAGCCCTGAACCCGAACATACAGGAAAGACCGCTTTGGTCTCTTGCCAGGCAATTTTGGAGTCAGCGCCGAACTCCTTGGTACAGCTCTATGCACTGGCAACATGGCTGAAAAAGAGTTCGCATTTTCACAATACCTAGACCTTCAAAGTGTGCAGACAATTTCTTTTCTTCTGGATTTTGGGCTAAACCCTAAACCATAAAATCTAGGGTTAAGGTGCAGGTTCGCACTGCTTCTTGTTATTCATGCGGTTGTCTCCTTCTGATGAGTTTGCATTGTATCTTAACCTGCATTGTAATATGGGGCAACGTGGCAACCCATGGTAGCAGTTTCTAGATTCTAGATGTTTCATTCTGCTGTTGGCACTTAGAGCGATCTGTGATGAAAGTTGATTGTAGGCAAGCAATGGCCATAAAGACCGTCAGCTGGGGTCTAGGGTTCAGTCTATTGGAGAAGGTATGAGCCTGATTGTGGTAAGATCCATTCGTTAACGCCATTGTTACTGCCGCTGCCACCATTACCAGGTTTTCTTGGCAAAAAACCGTTATCAGGACGACTCCTACAGCAAAGGGACTGCAATGGGAAACAAGGAACGTTGAGAATAGAGTAGGAGTATAATTAACAGGAATATACTTGCCAGGCTCCTTATTTTTCTATTATATTCCTGCTCTATTCTTGGAGTTCCCTGTTTGGAGTTCCCATTTTAATCCCTCTCAGACAGCAGACCGCATGGAGAAGCCACATAATGCCAACATGGACTCATGCTCGGCCAGCTTCCTAGTCACCAGGTTGGTTACAGCCTAAGGTGTAGGGTTTGAGGTTTCGGGCTTAGGGTATGGGTTTAGGGTTCAGGGTTTAGGGTGTAGGGTTTAGGGGTTGGGGTTTACGGGTTTCACCTACTGCGGCTTAGTAGGGAATGTGGGAATATACAAAATATCACCTGGAGGGGTTAAAGTCCCTTATTCCGCACTAAGAACCAGTAGGTTCACGAGCCAGCATACCCTTTACACAAATCCAACAAAAAGCCCAGCATACTCCGGATAAAAACTAATGCGGACCCATGGCGTGATTTCACTGAGGTCATCTGGGCTATACCTGGCGGCATTGAAACAGAGGGCGCAACAGCCCTGCTCCAGGCTTGTTTTTCGTGGTTTCGGTGGTGGTGATAGTGGTGCATTTCTGCCTGAGCTTATGCTTCAAAAGGGGCATCGGAAGCCTTCGTCATGGGCCCAGCAAATGAGGTACCCTCTAAACAAACTCTTTGGAGATCAGGATGCCAGACATTGACCCTGCCTAAGTGCCCCTGTTTACACTTACAGTGCGGCAGTACCTTGAGAAAGGCCATCCCGGACAAGAAGATCCCAGTAAGAAGAGTTGTTGCAAAGATGAGCCGTTTGATTTCAAGACTTGCCTTCCTTTGGATTGGAATCTCGTCAATATGGAGCTGAATCGAATTGACAGGAACATCTGGGATTTGAAGCGCAAGTTCACGAAATAGCCACGTTCAAAACAAGCATGGTGTTTCTCGCAAGGGCACCTTGAAAGACTGTCAGCCATCCTGCTGACCGACCCCCATCTTACAGTCCAACGGTAACATCAGCACAACTATCGCCACCGTGAGAGTTATGATGGCCACACGCCTTTCATTTTTCGGTACGCAGCAACAACTTTCAGATTTATCATGAACATATTTTGATGATAGCAAACATAAGCAGAAAGCCTATGCCATGTAGTCCCCCACAAGAAGATAGAATATGGCTTTGGGTATGTTATAATCAGATCCCCATATACCCCATATTCTACCTACTGAAGGGGGACTATACTATACCCTAAACCCTAAGCCCCATATTCTATCTACTTAAGGGGGACTATATACCCAAAGTTTTTCAAAAAAGGAGAGGAGGCAGTCAGACTCTTCGCGCGCAAAATGATGGTTGTAGCTGTGTAAGTAGTGCATAACCAGTTAGGCTGAACGTCGCCAAAGCGAAGACCTAGGCCCCATAATTTCACCGTTAAATTGAGCGAGGTCCCACCGAGTAATGGCAGTATTTTAGGAGTGCATAAGGACCCTAATGTGCTTAATATTGTCCCTTGAGGGCACTATTAGTGGAAGCTGTTGGTCAGAGACAGCCCCCAAACCCCTAAACCCTATACCCTAAACTCCAGTCAGACCCTAGGCTCTGCTTGCAGTGCAGAGCAGAGGGGGTTCCGGAAAATACGGGTCCAATTTTAGAGGTGCTTACAGTAGGGAGTATAAGATACTAGTGTATGTAAAGGTTCCCCCCGATCCATGGAAGCCCCCACAGTCGCTGAACTCTGGGTGTGCCTGAAGCCCTTAGCGACTGCTGGTGCCCACTTTGTGATGGGGTGTTGGACCGCTGGGGCTATCATGCTGGCATGTGCGTGGCAGGTGGCGAACGCACCTTGAGACACAAAGCCTTGCGTGACCTGGTGTGCTGCTGGGCCGATCGTGCTGGGCTTCGA